CATTGTCAACACCAAAGATATGCCGAACAAATCTCCGCAATTAAGCAAGGAAAGTGAGAGCAAAAAACCTAAAACTACAAAACTTAGGACGATTAAACCGCCAATTAACAAAGAATTATTATTGTTTTTTGGTTGAAGATTGGGTGAATTTTCGTGCTGGATAAGAGTTTGTAAATATTGAGCATTTTGTCGCTGTTGATTGTTGCCACTAGTGGTTAATTGTTGAGCATAAGATTGCTACAATTATTACAAAGATAATTTACTTTTTGCTGACAAGTAGAACACTGATAATTCTGCTTTTGCAACTGATTGTTAAGGTCTAAATAATAAACTCGGGACTTATTTACCAAACTGTTAAGATATTCTTGAATCTGACGAGACATATTTACTAATAATTTTTATTAGTATTTTATAGTGGTTCAGATGACTAGTTAAACAAGAATTTCTTTCTTTTCGTTAGTTTATAATTCATTAGAAAGAGGATTATCCGCTTAAATGTTTGCTTTCTCTCGCTTTGTCATTTCTAACAGTTATTTCGAAAGGAACATGCAGTTTCTCTAAATAATTGGCTAACTCTTTTAACCGAAAACCTTTTATTTTTCCTAATAAAAGGTCATAAGTTTTGTTTAAAGAAATTGCTATTTTGGTTGCCACTTCTTCCACTGGCAAATTGTTCTCTTGTTGGTAAACTAAAATTGCTTGACAAATCTGATATTTAAATTTCTCCTCACCCGAAGCATTAGGCGACAAGATTTTGTTTTTATAAGGATAGTTTGGATGACTTACTTTTTCCCTTATCTCCTTTAATTCCGCTTCGCTGGGGAAAGCATAATTTTCTTTCTTTTCCATGACAAATTATTATATCTAATTTTAATAACAATTAACTATTCCAATATACTTTTTACTGGTTTTTTTTCAGCATCAGACTAAGCAATAGCTTTTATCGTTATGCTGAATGTCTTCAATGGTGAAATACTGGTAAGCACTCGGTCGTTTTGGCGGGTCTGGAAAAAAAGTCTTATGGTTTAATTGCTGAACTAATTCTCAAATTAATTTGTCATTAACATAACTGGCATGACCTTTCTCATAATGAGGGTCGATAATTAGTCGCAATAATCTTTGCTTATTAATTACTAAATCGCAAGAATAAACCCTTCGTCCTTTGGACGTGATAGCGATTAAAGGCGGTAAGGGCATTATTGAAAGGTTTTACTTAAACAAAAATTTCTCCTTTTTGGGTATATAAACTCACTACTTTGCGGTAAGTCTTGAAATTATTCTCATTCTCGGTAAACTCGAT